ATCAAGGCCTTACCATCGGTTAATTAGTAGGTACTGGAAGAATGGTAGTAGTAGTAGTTATAACTGTACTCCATTCCTCCATTCAATACTAACCAAAGGTAAGAGGCTGGCCACAGCCAGAGCAAGCTTCATACTCCAGCGCTCGGCTTGCAAGTCGTTCTCGCTTAGACTCTTGCAGAGCATCTCCAAAAGATCGGGGAAGTCCGGGGCGTGGTAGGGTCCCTCTGGGCAGAAGCCTCCTGCCCTCGGCCCGGAGCAGAGCGCGACCTCCTTGCCGTCGCTCCCAGAAGCTGCCTTGTAGCCGTTCTTCGGCGTTTTGGGGAAACCCTGCCAGGCGGAAAAGAGCCGGTACCAGCCGATGCAGCCATAGGCGAAGGCCGCAAGGGACGGCAGCAGCCAGCCAGGTCCACCGACCTGAACGGCTTGCCAGATCTCGGACTTGAGGCAATATCCCGGTAGAAAAGGAAACATGGGAAGGAAGCAGTCGGCCACGCGACACCATGCGAAGCAAGCCGGCCCGGTCTCTTCGGTGACGACGTCACTTCTGGAGATGCTCTCGCACTCCAAAATGCTGCGGTTGGCAAAGTGCCGCGCACAGAGCTCGTTCTCCGTGGCGCCGGTGTGTCGCCGCAACTGCTCCTAACTTTGTCCAGTTTCCCTCAAGGAGCTAAGGGTGGGCCTTTGGGTGTTGTGGCTTCTATACGGTTTCCGGCTCCACTCAAAAGCAAATCAATATGGTTCCTTGTAGCACCCTTGCGGATCCCTTCTTGTACTCCTTCTAGGAACCTTTAAAGGAACCCTCGACTCTAAAACCCCCTAAACCCCCCCTAAACCCCCTAAACCCCCTAAACCCCCTAAACCCCCTAAACCCCCTAAACCCCCTTAACCCCTTTAAACCCGCCTAAAACCCCTAAAACCCCCTAAACCCCCCCACGAAGGCTCCAGAAGGAAATCCAAGTCCCCCGAGCAGAGAACTGACCAAGTGAGGCCGGGAGCAGCTCCGCAAAGTGCTGCTAAGGTTACCTGGGTTTAGAGGTTTAGGGGTTTATTTTGGGGGGGTTTAGGGTTTAGGGTTTAGAGGTTTAGGGGTTTATTTTTTAGGGCTTAGGGTTTAGAGGTTTAGGGGTTTATTTTTTAGGGTTTAAGGTTTAGAGGTTTAGGGGTTTAGGGATTTGGGGTTTAGGGTTTAGAGGTTTGGGAGTTTAGGGTTTAGGGCTTAGGGTTCAAGTTTTGGGGACCTTGAATCAAAGTATTTATGAATAGCACCTCTATAGGCCATAGGGGACATTGTAAAGTTTCCCAAACTGCCACCTGGCCACGAAAAGTAAGAGAAGCGCAGCACTCAAAGCACAAACCGCCCGCAGAACTCGTGCGAACCAGGGCTCTGCAGTGTGTCCGCGAACAAGACACACCTGGAGGAAGACGTAGAAGAAGTAAGGGGGTACAAAGACCTTGGCTGGCAGAAGCTTCTGACACAGTTGCTGAAACCAACCTCCTGCATGCTACTGCGGACCAAGTTGCCACAAACGTGACGTTAGCTGCTTGCAGCCCTACAGCCAGGCCGTTTGTCCAGGGGGTGGGCAGGTAAAGGGCCACAGCCCACACCACCGGTTGCAGCATGGCCCCTGCCAGCAACGTGCCGTAGGCGCACAGCAACCTGCCGAAATCCCTTTTGTTCGACTCGTCTTGCCCAGAGCAGAAGCGGAGGCCAGCTGCAAGGGTAACTCCCAGTGAGCCTGGTAGCAGCACCAGAAGCACAGCCGCATGCAGGGCATCGGCTCTGTCGATCGGGGGATAGAAGTCACCAGGGACGCCCGGAGGCCCCTGCAGCATCGACATGAGCTGAGGTGCACCCTGCTCAGCGGCTTGAGGCTCAACAGCAGCAAGGTGAGAGAACGTTGAAGAGCCTGCCCTATATGTGGCATGTCCCCTTCATGGGGAGAGATGCGGGACTGCAAAGTATCTCACCTTGAACATGACAACACGAAGCATATCAGGGGGTGTTAAGCCCAGGCTTGAGATTCGACGGATTTGGGCTTCGGGTTCTTGCGATTTCAGTGAAAAGGCCCAAGGCCCAGGGCTTCGCACATGATGAATCGGATTCTGCGAGCCGGAACCCCCCAACAAGGCCATCATGCCAGCCTCTGATGAACATTCCCAACTGCTTAGGCAGTAAAAAACACTCTCCTACACCACGAGGCTTGCTCAGGTGGAGCTTGATGACATCTTGAATCCTTTTTCCCATCACCTGTCGCCCTCTGGTCCATGGTGTGCTTCGCACAATAGAACGTTGGACGTGAAACTGTGCCAGAACCCCGGCACCAAGTTTCATCAACTCGAAGGTCTTCCTTCAAAACGGCCCCAACCCCATTTCTTCTGCCACACCGTGTTGGGAACCCCTCCGACAGTCCTCCGAATCAAGTGACTCAACCAGGGAGACTTCCCGGCGTAACTTCAAGTTCTACACCTGGAGCCTCACCCCTTCCCCCCATTGTCTGCTCAAATGAGTACTTTCCATGGTAGCACTATGTTTCTGTGGATCTTCTGGGGGAAGGACTTTCTTGGGATGCTCGGGGCTGGCAAAAAATGGAAGCATCAGCTGCCTCGGAACCGAAATTACTCCCCGGTACTTGGCTGCCAGACAGCCAGGGAGGCTGGGGAGACTACACTCTTAGAGGAGACGATCCCCCAACCCCCCCGCCTGAATGCGTCACCAGGGAGGGAGGGTGCTCATGCCGTCGTCGACGGAGGGTCCGGAACGGACGGTTTGCGCAGGCAAGAGAAGCCCCACACCTCCGGCTTGCACACTTGGAAGGCCGTCAGCCCGAAGACTGCGATGAGGTCCAGGCAGGTGAAGATCAACAGACTCGGTTCAGGGCTCCCAGAGAGCCCAATACCCCTAATAAACCATAATGTGAAGACCCTTATAATTTAAGGTATATGGCCCTAAGCAAGGGGTATTGGGCTTTCTGGGTTCAGGGGTTCAGGGCCGGGGTCAGTCTTGGGATCTCGCTTTTTAGGGGCAGCCCTACCCTGGCAACCCCCATCCTCAACGCGCTTAGGCAAAGCTGTGCAAGCAAAGCCCCTGAAGGAGGTCCCTCATGACATGACTCATGACAGAAAAGTATTAATATTATTGGTCTTACTAGTGTTAATATTATTGTTATTAGTATAGTACTATCAGTATTGTATTAGTCTTATTAGTATTAGTAGTATGATTCTAACCGTCAGATCCGGCACCCTCCCTAGCACAGGCAAGGGGGCTCCCTACCTGAAGCCCAAAAGCAGGCAGTCTCCTCAAAACCCGAAAAACCACCTACTTCAAGCCCCTTAGTTTTGAATCCTAAAACCGTTAAAAACCACTTACTTCAAACCCCCTTAGTCTTGAATCCTACGCCCTAGAACTACCGCTTCGGATCTTCCAATCTCAAATAACCCTGCCCCTGAGTCCTAAGCCCCATTCATATCAGGATCCCCAACAAAATCTGTCTCTGAGAGCCTTCGCCACAAGATCCCAGTTATCGTCCCTTTGAAAAGGAGTAGAGGCACGACCCCCCTGCAGGGCTCATCCAGCAGCGCTCGTAGCAGTCCACGTGGCCTGTGAATCCGCAGCCGGCTTCGGAGGAGCCCACCAAGGCGGCCCCTGCACCGCCTGGGATTGTTTTTTTTTTTTTTTTGGGGGGGGGGCCTTTTCGAACTGCAGAAGAGTTAGAATTCCTATACTACCTGGGTTTAGGGCCTGGGGCTTTGTAAAGGTTTGTGAGGGACTTGATCCTTAATTGAGGAATACTGCGCCAGGACGAAAGTTCGTCGCGTCAGGTAGGTCTGCTATCCCACAGTTGCCAACCCCTTTCCCGCATAGACTCTTTCACGAAGTCGCAATGTCAGGCCCGGACCTCACTAATTCCTCCGTCGGAACAAAAAAACAGTGTATGTTTATTTTGGCATGGAAATTCCTCCGCCAGCCAGGCCAAGTAAAATGCACTTCTTCGTACTCCGAGTCCTCCGCCAAGCAAAGACATCTTAGTGCGACAATACTTTCATCCTGCTGATGCTCACCCGCGACTAAAAACGAGTAGGCACCCGTCCAAAAAACCTCCTCCGTGTGTCGCTTTGCGGGTTTCACACATGCTGGCCTGGCCGACTAGCGGTCTTGGAATTCATGCTGCTCACCCGCGACGAAAAACGAGTCGGCACCCGTCAAAAAAACGTCCTCCGTGTGTCGCTTTCCGGGTTTCACACAGGCTGGCATGGCCGAACTAGCGGTCTTGGAATTCATGCTGCTCACCCGCGACTAAAACACATGCTGGCCTGGCCGAACTAGCGGTCTTGGAATTCATGCTGCGCCAGGACGAAAGTTCGTCGCATCAGGTAGGTCTGCTAACCCACAGTTGCCAACCCCTTTCCCGCATAGACTCCTTCACGAAGTCGCAATGTCAGGCCCGGACCTCACTAATTCCTCCGTCGGAACAAAAAAACAGTGTATGTTTATTTTGGCATGGAAATTCCTCCGCTAGCCAGGCCACGTAAAATGCACTTCTTCGTACTCCGAGTCCTCCGCCAAGCAAAGACATCTTAGTTCGACAAAACTTTCATCCTGCTGATGCTCACCCGCGACTAAAAACGAGTAGGCACCCGTCCAAAAAACCTCCTCCGTGTGTCGCTTTGCGGGTTTCACACATGCTGGCCTGGCCGACTAGCGGTCTTGGAATTCATGCTGCTCACCCGCGACGAAAAACGAGTCGGCACCCGTCAAAAAAACGTCCTCCGTGTGTCGCTTTCCGGGTTTCACACAGGCTGGCATGGCCGAACTAGCGGTCTTGGAATTCATGCTGCTCACCCGCGACTAAAACACATGCTGGCCTGGCCGAACTAGCGGTCTTGGAATTCATGCTGCGCCAGGACGAAAGTTCGTCGCATCAGGTAGGTCTGCTAACCCACAGTTGCCAACCCCTTTCCCGCATAGACTCCTTCACGAAGTCGCAATGTCAGGCCCGGACCTCACTAATTCCTCCGTCGGAACAAAAAAACAGTGTATGTTTATTTTGGCATGGAAATTCCTCCGCTAGCCAGGCCACGTAAAATGCACTTCTTCGTACTCCGAGTCCTCCGCCAAGCAAAGACATCTTAGTGCGACAAAACTTTCATCCTGCTGATGTATGGCTTAAATTATAGTAGGATGCCTAATATCATTTGAGGTATATTCCTTAATTACGGAATCTTGGCTGCTACTGCTGCCATGCTTTTGTCACAGTGATAGGAGGGACTGTACAACGGGACTGTATGGTGCATGAGGTTGAGACATGACCAGGATTTCGATCTTGCTGGGCGTGGGTTTAGGTTTCGTAGCTTGGGGCTTGGGTGCATTCGGGGGGTCTCGCTTCGTTCGATTCCTTTTTGAAAATTGTGGGCTTTGGTTCCAGTGCACAAATCGATTTCGGACTTTGGTGAGGTTCCAGGTTTAGTACACGTCGGTGTAGGCATCCCGCATCCAAGGTTTAGCTTGGGGGGTGGGTTTCGGATCTTTCTGCGGGCTCGAATGGTGTGGCTGATAAGGATAAACTGGAATTCGACGTCCTCGGCTTCGAGCTGCCCATGTTTGTGGGTTTCCGGCTTAAGATTTAGGGTTAAGGGTTTAGCGCATTCTGATTCAAGCTCAGTAACAGGTACAGTCGCGGCACTGATTGAATCGTTAACCTTGCACACTGGGCCCTGAACCGCGAACTGCAGCCCTAAACCTGAATGAGGCCTTTATCCCCTAATTAGTATTAGTATTATCATTAATTAGTATCACTACTGGTATTATCATGATAATACTACTATTATAAATTATTACTATCCAAATACATCCGGAGGTGCAGGTGAAAGCGAAAAGGGCCCGAAAGAGATTTTCCTTGGCTGGAGGAGGAGCTGGGATTTTCAGAGCGTACCCGGATCTGCAAGTAGAAGGTAATCAAGTCATACCCTGTAAAACATTTTTCGGGATCCTATTACACACACACCTTGCTCCCTTGTTTCGCCTCACTCTTGCAGTCCGCGAACCCAGTGTAACTCAAGGCTCACTCCGTTGTTCAAGGATATACGAAGATCTGGACATGGCTCAGCGCTCTTGCCCTCGTTTTATGGTTTAGAGGTTGAGGGGTTTTAGGGGGTTAGGCGGTTTAGGGATTTAGGGTTTTAGGGGTTTGGCGGGTTAGGGCTTTGGGGGGGTTTTAGGCTCAAGCTGAGTTACTCCCGCTATGCATGCCAGAGTTCTCCCAAAGGCGTATCCTGCGTATGCTTGTGCACGATGCACCAGGCGATGGGAAGCAGGAAGGCCAATACGGAGAACACCAGGAGCATGACCTGGTTGTTGTCCTGCGGGAACATCATGACCACAATCCTCAGCAAGAGGCCGACACACACTGCCGGCTACGAATGGACAGTCTCGGGGTAAGAAGGAGACAGGGAGACAGGTAAGGTTAAAGGTAAGCCAGCATATGCCCCGAACAGCGACGGAGCACCTCCAAAATGCAAACTATGTGCGGGACTGTTGTTGCAGTAAGTGGAAAGACCTCAACACGCACGGGACATCACAGGACTGCGGAGGGAGTGCGGTTTCGAGGGCGGAAATCCATGCGGAAATCACGGGACTGTGGCGGGAAAAGGATGACACACGGCGCTGTGGTGGGAACACGATTGCCAACTTCGATTCGTTGGGTGGTGTACCGGCAGTAAATAGAGACCACACCAAGGACCCCTGAGGGTAAGCAAATCATAGTGTTGGCACTGTTTGGGGAATTCGGAATCCGTCTGATACGGACGCATCAACTCTGTTCACCAAGGCGTCGACAGAAATCGAAACAGTGCAGAAGCTGGTGAAACCGTAGTCAACCAGCAAACCGTACCGGCGTAGGAACAACAAACCCTAAAGTAAAAGCCAGAAAGTTGGAATATGATTATCCTAAGCCCTTTATGGTAAATTACTTGAGAGCTGGTCACGAAAGCTAGAAGCACGAGGTCCGGTGCTGAGCTCTGCAAAGCGATGTGCACGACAGTAGCGGAGGGAAAGTGTGGGCCGGTGAAGGGTGCAGGCGTTGCTCGTTCATTTAACTCTTCAAAAAGTAATGTGCGAACGACAACTAGAGGTAACTCTGGAGAGAAGACCGCACTTCAGTCGCCGAACGTCAGACACAAACAAAACCAAGGGACCTTGAGGAGGGGGGGGGGGGGGGAACCATGATAGGGGGGGGGGCCCCCCCCCCCACCTTATCCCAGGCACAACCACCTTAAAGGAGGGGGGGAGGGGGGGGAGGGAAGCGCACCTTATCAGTGGAAAACGCATAATGACAAGGTGAAGGGGGGGGGGCCCCCCCCCTACCCCCCACCTTAACTCTTGGACGTGCCACCTGATAAGGTGCAAACCATGTTTTTTTCCCTAGTGCCTTAATACAAGTGAATTGCTAAAGGGCAACTCCCGCGAGCTCCACAGAGCTAGCTTTCGTGATAAGGTATCCTACCCTGAAACCATATTCCTACTTTCTGGAGTTCCCTGCTGCTGTGGGCGTACTTCCCAGAACACAAGTACCGGAGTTCTTCTGGAGGCAAGTTCGTACCTGTCGGTGGAGCTCCATCAGATGCTGGCAGAAGCTCGGGTTTAGGGTTTAGGGAAGTGGACACAATCCCCTAAAAACTGTAGCTTCCCTGTAAACGTATAGTTTGCAATTCGGGGCGGCTCGGGGGTTCAGTGATTCAAGACCCCTCCGCAACAAAAAAAGGAAACAACCATCAAAGACTAAAGAAAAGGAACAAACAAACAGACAGGACGACCGGCAAGATCACCCTAAACCTTACAACCCCAAATCCTGACACACCCTAAACTCCAACACTACATCAATGCTTGGCTGCCGAGACACACGCCGCTTGCGACGGCGAGCATGTACACAACCGCAGCCGTTCGTGCCAGGCATTTGTTCCTAGGGCTGCAGGGTTTTACGGACCCTCTTTGTACCCATACATGCCGTAAATAGAAGCATGCCCCCTCGTAGCAAGTGCTGCAGATCTCATGGCGGGAAGGAGGGTAAATGGAAGGCTTAGGAAGCTGCCAAGTCGCGGCCAGACTCCCTCCAGCGCGCTAGAGACACTCAGCATCAGTGGGCCCCAGGATAGAACGATAAGAGCCTGCTGTGAGGATTTGGGTGCGGCCTTGTGGAGCATAGTGTTAGTGTTAGCAGCAAGGTCTGGATTGTTGGTTTTGCACGTCTCGAAGGGTTTGCATCCAACAAAATTTACACAGCTTTCTAGCTGTGGGTTACGGGCTGAATGCTGGTCTTTCGGAGACTCAGGTGCGTGTGTTTCCCGGCGGTCCTTTGTTGCAGGTTGTAGCGCGCAAGCAAACACGATGGTCCGAACAGGTTGGTACATACAGGTGTCACAACGCAAACGCCAAAAGATTGATGCATGCAGACAAATGTGTCCGTGATATGTTCTCAAACGCATAGAAGGAAGTTGCGCCTAGAGCAAAAGAATACCATTGAATCGCTTTAGAAGGATCAGGAGGTGGATAGATTTGGGTGGGGGGAAGGAAGCATGGAGAGTCCAAGTGCACCAGTTGCCATCCTTGCCGCTGTTGACATGTTTCTCTCTTTCCTTTCTTCTGTATCTCTCTGCATCGTTTGGCTTTTCCTCGGCCTTTGCGGTACTTGTGGCTGCGCTCTCGCCGGCAACTGCCACCGACGCCATCACAGCTATGAGGCAATAGCCCGTAGCAGCCAAGAAAAGCCACAGCAAGTAGCACACGTCCTCAGAACGAGGGGCTTTGGCCACTTGCACGGCATCTCACACTTGGCCATGGCCAAACTAGGAGATTCTGTCTGATGCATGTGTCATACTGTTGATGAGGCAAATCCTTATACTACCTATAATAAGGAATATACCATAATTCCCATAGTTTAGGGTCCTTGAACGAATGCAGGATTTGTATCATGCTTCGCTTCCCCGCAGTGCATAATCTTTCGTTCACTAAACAGCCTGCAATATTCGGTCCACATCCAGAGGCTGCTGTCCAGGCCAACGCACATCTGTACACATGCACTGTTGTAACGCAATCCAGCCAAATGTGTTCCAACAAAAGTATGGAAGACAAAGGTAAACACTGTCCAAAAAGCAAAAAAGATCTGGAATCCTCTACAGAACCCTGTTTTCTAGTACCACCTATCCACCCATCTCATAGGAAGGGCGAGGTATGCATCGAGGCGTCAGAGGGCTGCTTCCGCTTCCGCTTGGACATCGCGAAGAGGAGGAAGAAGAATCCGGCCAAGCGCAGGGCGGTCAGGAAAGAGAAGCTGACGACGACGCTGCTGTGAGCTCCAGGCGTGAGGTAGGGGTCCTGGTTTAGGGTTTGAGGTTTGGAGTAAGGCCTAAAGAACCCGGCACCATGTGAACAGAAGTTGCTTCTTTCAATCCCGCGTACTTCCTCTTCTTCTCAAGCTAACCATCGCCTCTGCAAAAACAAGCGTCAAGATGGTACGAGCAGGATGCAAATATATACCGAGGCGTTGAGTTGAACCTTCGAACCAAATTCAGAACTGCTACGCTCCAGGGTCCTGGATTGTGACGAACATCTTCCCATCCCTGACCCGGCACTCCATTCGGCTCCCCGGCAAGCAAAAGGCACAGGAACTAGAGCATGCGCAAAACTGGAGCCATTCTGCGGCAAGCCTCCGCTTCACCTGAACCATAGATCACACCATGAACTGTCTTGAACAATCGACTAACTATGATCCCAGGCTGACAGTAATGCGATGTCTGTATACAAGTGTGGACGTCGACGCATTTTGCTTGAAGCTGCTGCACTTCTGGAACTGCTAGCTCAACTGCTCAACACTGATAATTCTAGTATCTGCTAACGAAGATGTAAGAAAAAGTTGAGAATAGATAGGAGCTCAAGGCACTCACTTTTCCTCCACTCTTGTCGTGTCTCTGGTGCTTCTGGCCAGCCAAGTTCAAAGACGATTCAACTAACAGCAGGGTTCGAGGGTTTAGGGCTTCAAGCCACGTGCAGCATCATGGTCTGATTCTTCGCATTATCCCGGTTGCGGAGCCGCAGCATGTCGTTTAGCGGACGCAGATTATCAAAAATAACAATCAGGATCAGACCATACCCGGCAGAATGATTGTGGGGGAGATCATGGCAACATGTCCAGCAGAGTAATGCTCAGGCGGCAGACAATCCTAATCCTGTGCAGGATGATGGTTGGCAATTCACGCATCCGTTTCATTGCCCTCCAACTGTCCCACCAGCATGTGGAGGATATCGAGAAGCAGCAGGAATCCGAATGGAGGAGACAGCCACCAGCCATCCTGGAACAAGGCGAACAACAGTCCCAGCCCCAGCCCAGTTGAAGTTGTGAGCGGGGACCACAACACCGTACAGTCAATCCCAAATCGTAAACAAAGGCTGCGCACGCCACAACGTGATCGCTGATTCTGCTTCCTGCTTCGGAAGGCCATGATGCAAGTCGCCGATGCCTCGATGTTCTCATAAAGGTCGTCGGTGGCTGTGACAGTGAGCTCTATTGCTATCCCACACGTCTACCACGCATGTCCACCGTAGGCATCATAAATAAGTACTGCGCTTGGGCAGCGGGCGACGAAACATTCCTGCCCTCCTTCAGAATCGAATGAGCCGCCGCATCGTCGATGGTTGCTGGATGCCCAGAGTTCGCAACCTCCGCGGCTGCGAAAGCAAGCAGCAGCTGTCGCAAGCAGCATCGCGCCCCAGTGGGAAAGACTTGCTTTTGACTGGATAGGCGCGTGCGACAGTAACATCCACTCGGGCAGGCAGTGCGAGACCAGCGCGGAGAAGGAGGTGGGAATAGTTATGGCACTGGAGCCCAAAGAACTCTGCTGGCACGTTGGTCAACCAATGTAGGCCTCCAGCGCGTATGCCTGGGACACCTCGTATTGCGGCCCACGCAGACTCAGTGGGCACCCATGGGCACAGGAAGTCTTCACTGACGTGGATGAGCTTTAACCGACACGGGAGGCTCAGAAGTTCCGCAAAGAGCCAGTCAGGCATGCCCACTGCCCCGATTTCGACGGCAGCAAGTGTCGACGCAGTAGTTGCGGCCTGGTCAGAGGCGGGAGGGCACTCTATTGGTGGGAAGGCGCAGTTGCCCCAGTTTGCGGAGAAGCACGCCAACCAGGCTTGCCGTGTAGCTACCTGCCGAGAAGTCTCTGACAGCAGGCCGCGCAGAGCTGATACCAGAAAAGGCAATGCACAGTGCTGCAAGACATGCAGAGTGTGGATCCTGCAAGTGAGAGTGCAGCGAGCTTGTGGCACTAAGACGCGCCGATACCGTCGCCGACAGCTTGTCACAAGTCTCGACGTGGCAGCCGGTTGGACCATAGCACTGGATAGAGCACGTGAGCTGCCAGGCATCACTGCGTGCCGGAGCGCAAAACGTGCTGGCTCCGGAGCACTCAATGCGCATCTCCGTGACCGGAGGGTAACCGGCCGCCGGGTGGTCATCGTCATCTGCATGTGCCACGTCAAAGCCTTGAACAGCACGGTAGGACACCAGGCAATGGTCCGTCATGTCAAGTGTCAGCATTTGCTTCCCTGCGGAGGAAGAGGCAGACATAGCTGCGACTTGCTCCAGCTCAGTCGCGGGCAGGAGGGCACATATCCGCCAGCGCGCCCACGTGCGCATGTGTTGCGAAAAACGATGCCGTGTGACACGCCGAAATGGGAGGACCCGTCTCGCTCTGGGTCCAGAAAAGTGCTCGGGAGCTATCACGCTAAAGCCAGAGGCTTACATCAAACCTAAGCTAGAGACTGCCCACCAGGATGGGGCGTCACGCCACCTCCAAAGTGTCTCTGCGAGGGTGGGCAATGAGCGGAGGCGGTCCAGCTGCGCCAAAGGGGCCTACTATTGGCACCGTATCCGTGCACGAAGGCCGGACCAATACATTTGCTGTCCGGGGGAAGCGTGCTAGCCATGAAGAGGGGGAAGGGTCCCGGCAGGCTACACACCCGGCAGTGGTCGGAGCTCAAGGCGAAGAGGGTGGAATTAGCACACTGTTCATGGGCTCCTCTAGCCCATTCCAAGGCATTCTCATGTGGCTGCAAGGTCTCCCGCAAGAAGTCATCAGGGTTGGGTGTTTTCATGCTGGCGTTAAAGCAGCTCTGTGATCGGAGTGCCAGTAAGGCTGCTGCAGGATCGCTTCCAGATGCACCCAAGTGGTGACAACGTCGCCGCTGTGCCGCGCCAGTGCACCTAAGAGTGGCGTACCTGCCAAATAGCTCGGCAGTCCGACGCTTCCGAGGTCTGCAACGCGGCAGCGTTGACAAGTGTCGTTAAAACCCAAACGCGCCTTGAGGCACACTTCTAGGTCTAGTAAAAGGAGGTGCAAGCCGACTGACTGACTACGTCACGCAAGGCTACAGCAGTGAAAGCTAACAGCACTTTTACACCTTTCGTCGCAACCAACTGTTCACCACGCGCTTGTCACGCAGTGCAAGTCTTGAGCCAAAGTGAAACGGGGCGCGGACAGAGACTTCAGCACACTCACTTCCGAGGTAAGTCCTAAGGACTCCTAACGGCTTCTCTGCACTGGCAACTCTGCTACACGGCCCAGGTGTTCCCCGGACTTCGTCTAGAAGTCCGCAAACAAACTGAAAACACTCTGATGTTCATCATGCTTCAGGAAAGTTCAGGGAAACACCATTCTTCGTGAAAACTCGTGAGGAAAACTCCGGTTGGACACGCTTCTGACACTGATAACTTTCACCGCAAGGTGAGACAGGAAGCGTGAGCGCAGCTACCGACAGACAGACAACTTTTCCCTACTCCTACCGTTCACAGCTACACCTAAGGTTCTCTAAAACTCACAAAGGAGAAAAACGGAAAGTGTTCCTGACCTTGGCGAGACACAGGGGCACCATTATAGGATTGAAAATCACGCTCGAGCGGTCGGTCCGCTGGGCTGAGCCCAGTTCGAGTCAGGGTGAGACGAAGTTTGAGGGGAGTCACCTCACCCTGAGTTCTGAGCCTAGTCCACTTTGGGAGCGGCGAGTTTCTCAAGACCAGTCTGACATCAGGTGATGTCCTTAAACAGCACCCTCGGCACAGACTGGTCGAGCTCACCTGCCTACTGCGGTTGCCCTCAGCCTACCTTCCAAGGAGTCTCCTCACTTTGAGCTAGGCGGCAACAAAAGGGTGCAAGGGAGGTATCTCAACCTTGTAGCTTCTCCAAGTCCACGGAGTCTCCTCACGTTGTTGACTTGTAGAGCAAGGGAGTAACCTCACCTTGAGCAGACTTAGGCTTGTGACCAAATTGGCTCGTTGAATTAAAGCTGGAAAGGGGAGTCTCCTCACCCTGGAGCGGCTTGCAAGCTTAAGGGAGTCACCTCACCTTAAGACCCTTCAAGGGGTTTCTCAACTTGTTGGGGTGTCCAAACTTGGGATCGGAACGAGCTGCCAGGTTGTATCATCCGGATTGCTCCAAGGGTTGCTCAGGGGAATAACCATACCAACCCTGTAGCACAAAGGGAGGTAGGTTAAGAACCCCGAGTCCTTTAAACCCTCGAAGTGGTGCGGGAAGTCCTGGAGGCGGTGGAGGAAGACCTTGGCCAAAACCTCGGGGGAGCCATAGAGATGGATTTGTTCTTCCACCCATGGCCCAAACATTTCATGTTTGGAACATAGGCCAAGGAGCCCCTTGGTTGCCGCCTTTCCAGGCCAGTGCTTGTGCTGCGCTTCTCTCCAGCGGCCCCCGTCGTACAAACAAACCTGCACGTAGTCGGCCGAGCGCAGCTTTGCACTTTGGAGCGCCATGTTCTCGGCGCGTGCGCGCGCCAAGGTCGGGAGGGCCCAACCTACGTTGTGCTCCCCAAGATCCGACAAGCGGATATGGCAGGCACACAAAAACGCGACCACACTTAACAAGGACAGGAGGTCCGGGACATCAAGTGTCCTAAGCCTTCCCTGCGGAGAAGCCACAGGGATGACCCGCCTGTAGAAAACCGCGCGGGCACGAAGGGAAAAACCCCGGCCATGGCCATTCTCTGACAAGGTGAGCAGGACTTCACCAAAGGACCCCGGTCGAGGAATAAAGGTGAAATCTCTGGATAATCCCTCCAGAAAAATCTGCTCCTGGTCCATGGCCTCGGCGAGCCCCAGCTTGAGGACCTGAACTTCGGCTCCAAGTCCCCATTGAGCCGGGGGCTCCAAGGTGACACGACTGCCCCCTACCCCCAATACGGCCCATACCCCTCCAAGCTCGTCCTCCAGCTCCGCCGGAGTGTAAGTAGTCCAAGGCGTGCCAGACGTGCCTTTTTTGTTTAAGGACACGCCTCGGAGGGATCTCGGGATCTTCAGGGGCTGCTTGAAAAGAAGCTCCAAGGGAACCTCCGGATCTGGTTCCCCTCTGATGTCCTCGCCCTTGATTCCCGGATCTGGGCCTGAATGGGACTGCGCTGGGGATGGAGCTTCGGTGGTGGCCGGTGAGTTTGTCTCAACCTGGGCACTGGGGACAGGATCTGGGTGAGGTGAGGGTTCCTCAACCTGCTCAGGCACCAAAGAAGAGGCTGGCTCAGGTGAGATCTTCTCAACCTGTGTTTTGGAAGCCGGGCATTTAACCTCAA